CCGCGGCCATTGGCTTCGCAGTCAGACACGCTAACCACTCGGCCACCTGGCCGGCCACATATATATATATATATATATATATATACTTTATGTTTAACTCATAAAACATTTATTTCTTAAAATTTTATTGAAAAATAAAGAAAAGCATTCATGTATATAAACAAAAGTAATAGATTATGATTACGATTTTTAAAAAACATTTTTCTCATACTTGATGTTTCAAGTGAAATAATTAGTTTTTATGCATTCATCTTATTTTCATTGTTTAAAAGATATGTTTATTTTTACATTTCTGAAACTTATTTACGCTTGAAATTTTTTTTCTTGAGAAATTTTTATTTTCAGTGAATTGATTGTTTTCATTGGCATAAAAAATGTTTGGAGAAATTATTTTCCTATTTATTGTTTCATGTGTTACAGTTTCTATGATTTATTGATTAGTAGAATTTATATTTTTGTTTTACTATAATGTTTAGGGTTAAGATAAAAATGCAATTAAAATACTTTAAAAAAAATTTCTTCTAAATGTAACTACAATAATTCTTGAAATTATTTTTTTAATATATGAATGCAATTGCGGTGTGGAAGAAATTATGAATTAAATCAAGAAATGTTAAAACTAATAGAAATAATTTTTAAAAAAAATAAAATGCTTGTTTTTTGTAATTTGAATTGAAGAACAAACAGGCATTAATACTGACAACAAACAGACATTAATACTCATTTCATTCGCATGGTTATATGTCTATATTGGCATTCCAGAACACAAGAATTTTTTGATTATAATTATAGAACTACTTTTCAAAGCTACTAAAAGTTCAGATTCGCCAATTTTAATGACAATCTCTAAGATCATAGGAATATGTATGAAGTTAAAAAACATTATTTTATATTTTTAGCTCTTTTTTTAAATTATAATTTTTCTAATTTCTATTTTTTAATTATTATTCTCCACTTCAAAAACGTGGTTTTCAAAAACATTTTTTTTATTTAGATTTTTTATTTTCAGCTTTTTAATTTTGTGTTTAAAATTATGTAATTGGTTTTAAATACCATGATAAGATAACTGCATATTTATTTCAGTTTCATTTCACCTTATATCTCAAATTCAAAGTTTTTATACGTACCTAAGAATGATATCATATCAAAATATTTATTATGAAATATGCAAAATAATTTTCATAAGATCTATATATAAATATTAAATTAAATTTATTTTTATTATATTTAAAATATCTTTTTCAGTTAATATTTTGAAATTAAATATATAAATCATTTTTTTTTCTGGAGATCCTAGTTGTCGCATTAATATCATTTCCCTCATTGCTTGTTCATTGCATGGTGTCTTGCCAGTAAGTTTTGAGCAATCGAGGTCCACTATTCTTAATCCGTTCAAGGATCGAACACGGCTTAACACGACATATGCCTGTCCTTTAGCAAATAGTTTAGATCCAAAATATACAACAGCACTGGCCATCATACACCCTTGCATTTTAGGGACTGTGCAGGCCCAGCACAGTATTAGTCAGATCTGTGTTCGTTCGATTGTTCCTTAATTTCTGAGGACTGGAAATTCAGTGGATTTTGGCTTGATTAAATGAATTCCATCTCTGCCAAAGTCGACACAAATAGCTGGAATATCGGTATCGTAGACCTGATCACGTCGAAATAAAGGGCAAATAATTTCAGTGATAGTGCCCATGTTACCTTTCACAAGTCCTTTCTCTACATCAATATTAGAATGAAGCATCACTCTGGCTCCGTTGAAAATTGTGATATGTTAAAGTCTCTGTGATATGTTAAAGTCTCTGTGATATGTTAAAGTCTCTTGTTACATTTAAGTTCTGCTGAGTTTCAGTCACTTCAATAATTTCTATATCTGAGCTCGATCGAGGAAGCATTTCAGACAGTTTTTCACTAACTTCAAAGATATCGAAAGCAAATAATGTGGCATGTCCTTTAAAACCGTATTGACCAAATCTGCCCGGAAATTTAATAACTTTGATGTACGGAATGATGCGGTGAAGTAAATGTCGTTCTGGTTCAGTTAGTGCTGCAATTTCACCAGGAATATCATCTGGTAGCAAGTTATTTCAATACGCCTTAGATGGAGCATGACTTTTTGAGCTTTTCAAGTGCGTATTGCATCGATAGCATACAAGCAAATCATTTTTAGCGACAAGTTCCGGTGGCAAGTATGGCTTTGCTGACGTTAAACGATATTTAACTATTTGATTAGGGTAGCATTTCTTCTGGCAGATATCACATCACCTGTCGCAATAAGTGTCTATGGTTGAGTAGAAATCTGCCCCATCAGTTACCCGTTGAGCATAAGCCTCACGTCCACGCCTTAGTCTTTTTTCATGTTCCTGAATTGACTCTTCAGCTCTTGATGTAGAGTTTCTCAAGCGATTTGATTCCAATCGAGAGAAACGTTGATTAACTGTTCTATTTGCTCTTGTTTCCCGATGTCTTCGTGCGTCATTGTTAAGTCGAGAAGAACGTGCATCCTCGTTTAATCTCGCTTGAGCCATTCGTTGTTTATCTTTATTCCGTCCGACAACACACTGATTTTTCGGAACTTCTGCCGCTTGTTTACGCCGGTTAGCTAATCTTGCAAACGTATCTGCTTCCGATTCTTGTTGAAGCGTCTCTAACCGCTTTTTTTTTCCTCCAGTTGTCGCTTGCGTTGAGTGGCTGTTTCTTTCGCCATCGTAGAAAATTTATTTCTTTGTCAAGATTCGATTTATAAGGTCAAGAATCTATATGGAGTAGAAAGAAATACTTTTTTTATTTATATATGTATAGAAAACACACATGAGAGCGCTCACATATACTTTATTCTCTTTCTGTACTCATTTCCAATAAAACACTTCCTTCACCTGTATACACACAATCTTTTTTTTTTTGGTCAAAAATATTTTTGCAATGAATATCATCAACAAATGCATACAATATATATGAAATAATACTTTGAAAGAAATCATCATGCATATATCTACATACCGTAGGTACCTACTGCGCGTGTCTAGATATTATAGGTATTTATTGCGACTGTCTGTATACTATAGGTACTAATTGCACAATTTTTAATACCTTAAGTACTTACAGTGTATGTCTACATACTATATGGCCTATATCAAGCCTGGAAAAATCATTGGAATAGACAAAATAATAAATTACATGAAATTTATCCTCATCTTAATAATTGTAAGACATTAACTGTTGATCGCAAAACCTAGACTTTAATTAATAGAGTATGTTTCGGGCATACTCGTTTTACGCATATTCATTTACTTGTAGCCGAACCTGCACCCAGCTGTACTCTATGTCAAGTTGACATTTCAATTAAACACATATTAACTAACTGCAGGACGATTCAAATATTTGAGGAAGAAACTTTTCGGCAGATTTTATCCCAATCTTTCATCCCTACTTAGTGACCCTATACATCACAATCTAATCAAGTTCATCAAAACAATAGGACTGTATTCACTAATATAAGTAAAAGTGCAATTTTTTTACCTAGTGACTGGCACAGTATAGCCACTTCTGGCTCTTGTGCCATTAAACTTTAACTAACAAACCAACTACATACTATAGGTACTTACTGCGCATGTTTATATACTACAGGTACCTACTTGCGCATGTCTAAATAGCATGGGTACTTACTGCACATGTCTATGTAGCTCAATTACCTACTGCGCATGTCTAGATAGCACAATTACCTACTGCGCATGTCTAGATATCATGAGTATTTAGTGTACATATCTATAATTCATTTAAATACTTTTATGAAGTATTTTATCCAATGTTCATCAAATTTAATCATTCAAACAAATGTTTTGCACTATATACATTTATATTAGGGTGAAGCGGGACAAAAATGAACAATTTTCAAAAACACTAAAGTTTTTCGGACAATTTTTGATATTTTATCTGATATGCAAAAAAAAATTAAGATATTTATTTTTACTGTAGATGAATTTAAAATTTTGTCTTGCTGCTTTTCGTTAAATAATATGAATTCCTTTTTTGCCTCGCGTCACCCTATATAAAATCAACATTCACGAGCTTGCCCACAAGTCTCATATGTTATTATTTACTCACATCAAACATTAAACTTTGTTCACTCACTGTACACAAAGCTTTCACGATTTTTTCAATTAATAAATGCAATTAATAAATGCACGCAAAAATCGGCGTAATTGTAGGACATGCGGTACGCACGACTCATCCGTGAGCCATGAAACGACTTTTATTTTTATTTTTTCCGCAAGGACAGTCACTGGGTCGTGCACAGCTCAACATTGCGGCAGCACATAAAAATTTTTTATGACGCACTGGCAAGCTGTGCGCCAATTTCTGCATGTCATTTTAATTAAATTTAATACATATTAAAACTCACACACGAGTGCGCTCATGCGTCCCATATCCTTATTTTTGTACTCACTTCCAAAATCTCAATTTTTTCACTCACTGTACTCGAAACTTTTCAACTGACATGTGAGACTAATTTGAAATAATCGAATCGACAACAAATGACAATCGCGAAAATATTAATTTTTCTTTAATTTTAATTTTGTTTACTTTGTATGTCTTCTTTCTCTTCATTTTCATGCATTGTCATCCAATTCTGAATTATGTGCCAAATTTGAAGTCTCTAGCTAGTCGAGAAGTTAGTTTAAAATCGATTATAAAATTCCACCCAAACAGACATACACGAAGGCAAGTTAATAAAAACGTGTTAAAAATATTATCAAATGAAACAAACTTTGAATCATGTAAAAAGTGTGTAATTTTTAAATTAAAGAACGTAACTTGCAAAGAAGAAGGATTAATAATTATTTTTATAAAACTTTAACAAGATATTATACTTTGTAATAATTAATATAATCTTATCAAAGATTTATAGAAACTTTAAAGAATTCAAAACTTATTAAATAACATGAACTCAAACATATCTTTTAAGAGCATTATTTTCAAATACCACAAAAAGATTGACACTTTCATATTCAAAATTTTATTAGACTTGTCTTGAATACTACAGAGTACATAAAAACTTCACAGTTGCCATAAAACATGTTAAAGTTCGCTTAAATAACATAAAACTAAGTGAAAGGCGATTAATGTCTTTAAAGTTTTCAACAATTATGAAAGTATACTAAAACCATATATGTATAAAACTGTTTTGATTTAAATATTACTTTTAAGCAGTTTTGGATATAATATGTAATGAGTATTATAAATAAAACATTTAAGTACAAAAATTAAGAATAATTCAATATTATTTAATAAAGTAATTACCAGTGAATAAAATAATGAGCTTAAAAATATATAAGTAGTAGACAAATGTCTCCAGCATTTTGTGATGAGGCTTTTTGGAAAAGTCTACAGTATTTTTCAACATGTCTGATATTCTTTTCAAATTAATTCCAATCAGGCTGTAACTTTTAAAGTAGTTGATAATTACGTGATACCTCAACCAGACTGAGTTTGCTTAAGCTCAAGCTATAAGTTTTTAATAAGGTAACATTTTGTAACTAGCCTAATAGTACATGGGCTCACTGCAGTAAACCTCTGAAGTATCAGATTGATTAGAAATTACTGAAAACTTTTTCAATCAGCCCTTCAATTTTCAATTAGTTCAATACAAAATAACGGCAGCTATTTGCCAAGAATTATATCATTCAATTCAACTGCAACTTATATATTAACGGCAGGTCAGATCTCACATGTTTTTATTAATTTAAGGTTTCAAACTTATTTTAACAAACTATAGATATAAACTATTTTTGGCACACAATACTTGACACAAAAGTTGTTCATGATTTTAAATGTTAAGTTTTTCTGTCATCGAAACTATTTCTTTGACAGAATAATGTTTTCTTCACTTCATTTCATATCTATCGAGCATGTGCTTTGCAAAATGGTTTTCCCCCTTTGGCATAGAAACTTTGGCCCTCTAAGTTCTTCTGACAAACCTGCAAATAAAATCAAATGTATACAAAACATTTTTTATTATAGTTGTCTTAACAAAATATATGTATTTTTAATTTCTTTATGTGCCCCTACAAAATAAAAACAAGAAACTCTCTAATTCTTTTTTATATTTTATTATGTAGAAACAGAATTAAAATATATAAAATTTTCAGCTTTTCAAAGTAAAGCTAATAAAGTTTTTAAAATAAAAGTTCAAACCTCTTCAAATGTGCTTTATATTTAAAAAAAAATTTAAAAAATATAAACACAACATTAAAATGGGTCCTCGCAATAACTTAAGAACTATTAGATTCAATTTAGATTTACAATTCAAAATACAAACGTTTTTCTTATTTATTAAAGTTTTCTTTATTGCTGATATTTTTTCAGTCACATTCAGTGACATAGTTAAATGGCATTGAAATTTGATTCCCCTTTTTCTTGAATAAATTTCATAATTTTTTCATTTTTCTTTTAAAAATATTTGCAAAGAAAACTTTTAAACTCTACTGTCTTTCTTATGATTATTCTTTTTGGCAACCAGATGCTCTTATCAAAACCATGCTAAATTGACCAACTTTGAAATCATTTCCAAGAAACTGCTGAATAATTTTTCAAAATTGATTGTTGAATCCTTATACTCATAATAACATGTTGTCGAAAAATACGCAATGTTATGCAATGTTGATGAACTTAAATTAAAATTTAAAATTTTTAAAAGAAGTTTCAAAAAAATAATTTTACATGCAAAGTTTCATATAGGATTTTAATAATAAAAAATTAGAAAAAAAAATTTTTATCAGTAATTTTCGAAATTGAAACAATTGCTCTAAAAGTGGAAATAGCTCAGATATTTTTTTTACTTAAAAAACAATTTAAAAATTTATTAAATTACTAATCAGAATATTAATTAAATTAGTAAATTAAATTATTAGTTAAAACATTTTAACTATTTAGGAAATACAAAAACTTGACGGGAGAAGTTTTTAACATTTTTTTTATTTTCAGTTAATTTGAACATAAAAATTTGAAGTTTATTTAACAAAACATGAAATTTATTTCTTAAAATTTAGAAATAAAATAATTTATTCTATTTTTATAAATTTGAACTCACACCTTTTTAAACTTCTATTAGATTTTTGTTGTATTACTGCAGTTCATATTAATACAAAATTTTAAATTTGAAACATATGTCTTGAGCCAATGATAAAAATAGTAAATTCCAATAAGTCCTTCAAGAAATTGCGAGTGCAAGTTGTAAGACCAACTTGGACAGCAAAGCTTGCTCCTGTTAGCCAGTGTTAACTCATTTCGTTATTTCTTTTATTTCTGTAATTTTGTTTTAATTATTGCAATATCAAAACTAACTGAATCTCCAAAGAGTATCATGCACTCTAAAAACTGTACCACTGATTTCAGAGGTAAAAAGGAAACATTTTTGCCTCTGAATTTAAAAGGTATATTGTATTTCTCAAATTTAAAGGTACAACACCACTCATTTTATACTCTTGTTCGGCTTTATGAAACCGAATTTCAAAGGTACAATAAATATCTCCCTCTTAGTTTTTATTTGTGTACCATTTAATGCTACATGTATTTAAGTTATATTGTGTATTCATGTTTCTAACATATTTACATAAGGATATTTTGAGACACTTTTATTGTGCATTGGCTAGAAATGAACAAAGTTCAATCTAACAATTATAAATGGGTGCTAACTCACAAAAGTTATAAGATAGCATATTATGCATAAGTTTTGTTCTACGTGATAAAAGACCTTTTAATATTGATGAAGTAACGTAAACTTAATGTCAGCCAAAAAGTTCATTACTGAAGTTAATAGCACTGGATGATTTCAATTTTAATGCTTTGTATGTAATCCATATCATACTCTGGCCTTCGCGAGATAACTTAAGAGAATGTTGTTTGTAATCCATATCATACTCTCGCCGTCGCGAGATAACTTAAGAGAATGTTGTTTGTAATCCATATCATACACTAGCCATGTCATACCTCGGAAGGCACTTTTCATCACAAATTTTGATGGTACTTTTTTTAGAGTGTAGGAAGAAAGGGTTACTAGTTTTACATAAAATCACTTATAACACTTACACTGCACTTGAAACACTGAGAATGATAGTTGTTGTTCAGAGCTTCAACCCAACGATCACCAGCTTCTATGGGAAATCCACAGCCCACGCATTTAGTTGTGAACAGCTCGTTCCAATCTGTTTACAAAAAATAAATACAAATTAAAATGCTAAAGTCATTGAAAGAGTTTCCAATAATAACACATATTTGCCCAGAATATTAGTTTTGTTGAAAGCTCTCTGTACCTTTCTCACAGTATGGCAACCCGTCTTCCAAGTAAAACGAGTTATTTCCAAATGGTTTTTTGCAATAAGCGCAAATAAAACACTCCGGATGCCATTGTCTATCCAAAGCATTGAGGCAATCCTGAAAGAGTAATTCGTATTTATAGATGCTAAAGATAGACAAGTAATTATTATTCATAGATTTTAAACATGGATAAGTAATTCTTATTTATTGTCGTTAAAGATAAACAAGTAGTTCTTATGTGTAAGCATTCAGAGAGGTGAAAGTAATTAATAACAATCATAGAGGGTGGTATAGTAGCTCTTATTTGTGGAAGAAAAGTTAGGAAAAAAGTTTTTGTCTAGGAAAAACAGGTATTTTTAGATGGCGATAGTGACAAGTAGTGACGATAGTGACAAAAGATGGCGATAGTGACAAAAAATTATTCTTAACTTTAAAAAGATTATAACTCCAAAATGGTCGGTTTACCCATACATAAGTAAGTTCTAGATCAACTTACATTAAATATGCACTTAAACAGAAACTATCACCAGAAACCGGGATTAGCGACGTTTTAAAAAGAGGTTCTCAGCTCAATTTTATTTAACAAACCAAATTTTATTTTACTTTATAACCGGAGTTAAACAACCAACACAATTATGAGTTTCCAACTAACAGTGTTCAACTCCTTGGCCTTGTAATTTTGAACCCAGCCCGGAGGAAAAGGGAACTTCTGGATTAAACATTGGAATAAACTAGACTTCCTGGATAGCTGGTTGATGCGAATTCCGCATCCGGCTTGCACCAACCACAGTGCTGACGTGAAATATCCTCAGCGGTAGACGGACCAAGCGTTGAAGAGTCCCCTTGCCATCAGGCCAACCGTGGGAGATTCTCGTGGTCTTCCTCTCCATGTATCGCAAATGTGGGTTAGTTTCATCAAAAAGTCCTCCACGAAGGCAAATTCTCCCAATAATTGGTCCAGGAGTTTCCTTGTCTTCTGGATTGGGTTCAAAACTACAAGGCTACGGAGTTGAACATTAGTAATCGTAAACCCAAAAATTGGGTCGGCTGTTCCACGACGGTTATAAAATTATAAAATATCAAAAACATGAAATGTAAGTATTTTTTAAGACAGAACGAGACTGGAATTTAGTTTTGAGGGATAAAATTTGTTTTATATGTATTTTCAATGAAGCTTAATAAATTAATAAGTTTTTAATTGTCTTTTCTACTTTGCAATTGCACTGAAAAATATTTTTTATTAAATCATCGGTGATTCAACTTGTTTAGACCCAGACCACCTGATTGTTACCTGACATATTGGAAACTTTGCCCCCATGTTTATACAAAATTATTCCTCACTTCTTGCGGCACCTTCTTTTCCATGTGATGTGAAATTATTAATTCTTTTAAACTTTGTAAATTTCGTATATTTAATCAATTAATCCATAGTTGAAAATATTTTGTAATCTCTTACACGTAATCTTTCCAACTATTATCCGCATCTCTCTGATGCTGCACGAATTTCTGCCTAAATTTTTCCTCATTCGATTTTCACCACTCCTTCACGTAATCATAATTTTCGTATTCTTCGCCGGATACTCGACCATGGGTAACAAATGCCAAAGATGTGTCATCCATTCCAGTTCATGAAATGCTTGCCATTTTGGCAGTCATTCAAATGACGCCAAGTACAGTACTATGTAAGTAGTCCTTGAATCGAAACTCGGCATTACATTTAATATATCGGATGTGCAACTATGCTACATGTTTATCCTCTTGCTTTCTATTAACAGCACTGTTCCTCTATGACCCCAGTTCTTAAATTTTCTAGACACAACTTTGCCTGTAACTTTAACTCAAAACGCTGTTAATTGTTTTCGATTTCTTTGACTTCTGCTTCTTTCTCTAATCCCTTTTTCAACAATCTTTCTAGTTGCAACTTCGTCTCTTCCATTTTATAAGTTTTGTCGTTTACAATTAAATTCCGTATCCAGGATTTAATTATCTCAACAGTTACTTTTAATTCCAATCCCCACGCCATGGACACCAAATCACTTTTTTATTCTGTCAACAAAAAATGACGTGATTCTTCTACTAGTCTTTTCTAAGGAAGACATCAATGTTAGTTATAATTCAACTTCAAAAGACACCACGTTTCACGGAACTGCAAAGTCTGNTTCCTATATATATATATATATATAGTAATATTTAATCCTTGTAATTGAGTTTCAAAATTAATTTGAAGTCAAGACGTCTGATTTTGAGACTTTGGGCAGCTCTATAAAAGTTTACATATTGCGTACAATGCATAAATTATTTTGAACATAAATTACAGACGTGCTTAATAACTTAATTTGTTACTTTCAGTATATCATTTCAGAAATACATGCAGTTATTACATTATAAGTAAAAATGTCTCCATGCAAATTTCTCATGGAGTAACTGTAAGTTTGTCAAAAAGCGTAGAGCATTATTATTATATCAAATGTTTTGAAATAAGCAAATAAAACTTCTCACTTTCAATACACATAATCCTAAATATTTTAACCTAATAAGATATTATTAACCTAATAAGATATTATAATAAGATATTATTAACCAAATAAGATATTATAATAAGATATTATTAACCTAATAAGATATTATTAACCTAATAAGATATTATTTCTGAATGGAATTCCAGAAAATGTGTTTAATAAATGCCCTTCTCTAGACAAATCTTTTATCAAAATGTCGTGTTTAATTTCAATAGGTAGGGAAGAGATCTGGAGTTTAAATCTAAGTCATTTATATGTTGCTGTATTGTTTTATTTCGCAAGGTTTTACTAGGAGAACAGGCTTACAACCTTTCAATAAAGCGCGAAAAGTTAATTAAACAAGATTAGAATAAATTAGAAAATACTGCCTTTCAGAAAGAACTCGAATGTAAATAATAATCAAATAAAGCTACAAATAGTTGGCATTGTTTAGGTTCTAAAAGTATAATACCTTGTAACAAAAATTCCTTGTTGGTTAATTTTCGTTAAATGTTTTTAATTTCAATCATTTTTCCTTCTGAAGGAAATAAAACAAATTAAGTGATTTTGTGGAAGGAATAAAAAGAAAACACATAATATTTTTTTCATCAACTAAACCCTCTAGAGGTAGTCTGAATTTGGGTCGAATTCACAATCTCAAAGAGTATTCGCAATTTTAATTGCAGGTTTGGTTTCGCCATTTAAAAATATGCTAATTTGATTCAGTTATTTCATTTATCAAATGCCAGCCAGTTGACTATAAAAAGTCATTAGACTTCTTGCCCTTCCAATATTTTTCAGCATCTACATTTCCAACAACACAATGTAATGCACTTGTCAGTGTAAAAGTCATTCACGTGCGCAGTTGAATACAAATAGGCGAATTGACAATTTTGAAATGAAAAAGATGGGCACGAATACAGTCATGCTCGGTCATAAGTTCAAAAGTGGCAGTTGCAGCTAAGCGTGCAGCATCTGGAGCATAATGGGAACCGCTGCTGTGAACATTTCAGCTCTTTTCACTTAAAAAGCCTGCATTTGCAGTGAGAAAAGATTGCCTGAAGACTGTATTTATTTCTAGTTTTGGCACATTTTTGATGAAATTCAAGTTATATTGCTTCCTTTCTTTGCCAAATAGTCTGCTCTCTCATTTTCTTCGATATCACAATGGGAGGCCATCCACAAAATAAACACTTTACGTGGAATCTGCTTGTTGAATATGAGAATTAATTTTCACTTGACAAAGCCTGGATGTTGAATCTGTTAAGATTATTACAGCTTTTTCAAAGAAACTCTATCGAAGAAGAAGCTGATAATATAAACTGATTCAAGTTCACCGCTAAAATGAGTAGAAAAACTTCCAACTTGTTGATAGAAGTAAATGCGCATGAGAAAAGTCTAAAAGGGAACCGCACGTGTTTATATATTGTCATTCAGAAATAGATAGAGAATATCAAGGATATTCTCATGTATAGTCTCAGTGCAAAAATCTGTCTTTTTAATTTTCTGATTAACACTAAACCTGACATTAAAGTCCATGAATTTCATGGAATTAGCAAAAGCGAACAGTTTAATAGGAGTATTGTTAATTGTTCGGTAACAATCAATGTCCGGAATTTATTGGATTGGGGAAATTTATTTATATTCCTTTGGGATTTAAGATTACGTTCTCGTTAATGATCCTAGTCACCCCAAAATAAATTGTTAGTACTCCAATTTTATCAGTAGATATTTTTACTTTTGGTTCCCAGATGAAATTGCAATCGCAAAAAGAAAGATGAGAACAGTTACGGTCAGTTATATCGAGAAAACCAGTGGTCTCCATCACCATTATAAAATTTGTGACCAAAATTCCTATTAAACTTAGCAATAAGTTTTGTTTGCGAATAGTTAGTAAAATATTAAAGGTTAGTTTAAAATTGGATCGACGTTTCCCAAAACGAAAACTAAGTTTAAATTTTGAAAGATACTATCTAAACATCGGTTAAATAAATTGGGAAAGTGCTTTTTTTAGTTAAACATTATTATATTTATAACTCTGAAAAAGTCAAGATAAAAATATTGAGAGATGGTCCTGTCGCTTAAGACTTCTTAAATCGAATATTAACTTTAACGTAAGGCAATTAAATATGAGAAAAATGTACGAAATAAGAACCATGGTGTTTGTATAAGGTTTGAAATATTGTTGTTGTTGTTGTTTTGTTGACAAAGAAATGACATTTGGTGACAAATTAGTGAAATGATGATATTGTAAAATACGTTTTTAGAAATTTTCCTCCCTATACAAATTAAATGCTTCGTATTTTAATTAAAGCCTTCAAGTTTATTAAACCGCTTTGAAACCTTAAAAACTTTAAAACTCTAAAATTGGAAACAAATATACTCGAAATAAAGAAGAAGATCAAAAAATAGTTAGATGATGTAACTTAAAGTCTAACCATAATGATAACTTCGAACTGGAAAGGCACAATGAAGGAATATGCAACCAATATCTAGAACTTACCCCCTTAATTCTGACATTGCATTTATTACAAATAGGTGCCAAGAAAGCTTCATAGCAATTCTCACAATACAACTGGCCTTGTTCTTCCACAAAACCAACTTCGATAAGCTGCGTTTTGCAGTGAAGGTTATTGCAATGGAAATGGTCTGGGCACCATGTCCTGTTCAGTGCAATTATAAATGGTCCTCTGAAAAAGGAAATATGAATGACATTTAACTTGATTTCAATATTTAAATTATAAATTGTAAAAAAAATCACTCAGCATCACATTTATTTGCATTAATTAAACAATATACTATTAAGGAAACAATTGAAATTACGACGTGCACCATAACTTTATATGAGTCATCCAGTTGTGATTTTCAATCATCAGCGCCATCTAGATTCTTCAACTTTAACTTAAAATAATTTCTGCTACAGTCTTACCAGGCATACTCTATTAAATAAGCAATTTTATTAGGTTCTGTTGCTTACATTGTTTTACTGAAAATAAATACACCGTTTATCATATAAGTTATATTCATTTCAATGAAAAATTCTAGATGTTTGCAAATGGACGACTTGTACGTAAAACAGAATCAGTATGGTAACCGGTTAAATCAAAATAAGTCATATCATTATAATGGATTTTGAATTTAATCTGGTTCTACTTATATTGATTGTACTATAAACTAATTAAGTTTAATATAGTTAGTTTAGAATAGAATAGTTATGATGATTAATATTTACAAATTTAGTTAGTAGAATAGTAATAATTTATTAAAATCATATGCTTTTAATTATAGTTACTTGATAGCTTGTGAATAATGAATGTTTCTTGTAATTTAGTGAAGGAATAAATAAATTGCTTAGATTTTCTGGAAACAACCTTTATTGATCTTCATATCTTATTATGGCATGATATATATTAAAATAAATTTTTAAAAAAAACAGATACTTATTTCCAAATATTTCAAATCATTTAAATACGTTTCATTTACTTCATATTTTCAGTAATCACTCTTGCTCAATAAAAAAATTCAAATCAGTTTTATTTAGAAACAAATTAAAATAAAGCAAGATTTGTTTTCATCTTTGTCCGAAGTTATTCCATTTTATATTAGATGTTAAAAGAAAGTATTGTTTTACTTCATTGAGCGATATGGTAGTAGGGCGAACCTCATACAATCGCACGTTTTTAATCAATCATTAAATAACATATTGAACATTGCTAGGTTTTTTGTAGGTTCATAAACCATCATAAACCATAAATCACTATTCAAATTTGCTAAATATAATGTTTTTTTAAAACATGATACTTCTTGAACTTGATAGAATGATACCATTGCTCAATTTTATCCAATACATGGTTCAATTTAGCCCATTATTAGAGTTGCAAAAAATTTGCCCGCTACTATGGTTTGAAATACCAATATTGCTGTTCGGCCACTTTTTCAGAAAGTATAGTATGTCTTTAAACATTAGACCACGCTATTAGTAACTTTTAGAATTTTCTATTGCTCACTATAGAATCTCATGGATACATTTTAAATCAGATATGCTTAATTCATCAACTAAAATGAGCTTTAAGTATATTTAAAAGGAGTGAAAAATTAATTCTAAAAGTCAAAAAAATAAACCTTAAAAGAATTTAATTAACAAACTTGTTTGTTGAAAATACTAATTGCAAATATTCGCTTTTATTTCCAAACCATTAGCAATTGTATTTAAGCATTAAGATTCTTCAGATTTTATTACATAAATTATGCAATTAACTATTTTTAATTTACCTATGTATTGAGATCTTTTTATTGAAATACATCAATGAAATTGGTGCATTTCTTAGAAACTCTCTTGGTTAATCGACCTAATCTAATGATACTTATTAATATACTCGCAGGTTATACACTACCGGTCAAAATTTTGCGAAAATTTTGAAATCTACAAAAAAAAGGTCTAAATTCAAATGCTCATAGAACTGCGAAAAATCTTTCAAATTGCATGAAAATTTGATAAGTTCTAAAATGAACTCTCTACAGTTAGTTACATATGATCAAATTGCAATACTTTGTTTTTTGCGAACTGAATCAAGCTTTTTATCATGAGTTGTTTTTATGGTGAAAAAAGTTGTTAAGTTTAAACACTTGCCAAACTTGCAAATCTGCACTTTCTGTTAATAGAAAATAGTTATTTGAACCGTTCTATGTAAGCCCTCAAAATTTCAGATTGATTAGATTTTTTTTGACGAAGTTATAGAATTTTGAAAAACATGTGTACTTTTCTCGATTTTTGAGCATTCCACATATGTGGTCTTTTGGTCTATACATCTTCTAACAAAGAACTTTTTAATTTTAATGTTTTTTATACAGTCGAACCCCGCTATAGTGAACCGCCTGCGGACTCAGTAATGTGTCCACTATAACCGATGGTTCACTATATCCAAATTTTTTAAAGAATATTTTTTGCATAAGACAGTTGAATGATTGAAAATCGGGTTTGCAATTTTACATAAGTTACTTAAAAAATTATTAACTTATTAACAGATAATAAAGCAAAAATTAATGAAAAAAGTACTTACGTCGCTAAATACTAGTTCTAATTTTATTTTTTATGAAAAAAATTTGTGATTTTTGATTGAACACAATTTGATTTTAAATAGAGTTCATCAATTTTCTTATCTACAATGTGCAAAGAATGCAAGATTTTTTGATCTACATTTTCTGTAGAAAAAAACATATTAAGGACATTTATGGCTGATTTTACTTCAGCTATAGATGGTGCTGAAAGTTCATTTTCTTCTTCAACATTTTCTTCTAATAGGTCTTCTCTACCTTCGTTCGTTTGTTTTATTTCACTGACAATGTCATCATCGGTAGGAGTACCAGAAGTGCATACTTCATCATCACAACATTCATATTGCTCAATAACGTCCATAGGGAAAACGTCAATTCCATGTCTTTTTAGCCATAGAGAGATAGGTAAATTTTCTTCCTCATCATCCTCCTCCACAGTGGAATCTTTTCCTTCTAAATCTTTTGAAAGACCTGCATGTCGGAAACAGTTACGGATCGTAGCTGATGTTACTTGTCTCCATGATTTTTCTAGCAAAACTATTGCTTCTAGAAGAGAGATGTTACATTCTGAGTCCATGTTTTTATCNTGATCATATGTAACTAACTGTAGAGGGTTCGTTTTAGAATATATCAAATTTTCATGCAATTTGAATGATTTTTCGCATTTTTTTGAACATCTGAATTTAGACCTTTTTTTTGTAGATTTCAAAATTTTCGCAAACTTTTGACCGGTAGTGTATTCAGTTTTAAATATGTAAATAGGTTTCAATTGGCATTTTACTATTACTCGTAGTGCGAATTAGTGTTTGGAGTGCATTGTTAAGCGAGGCAGCTGATAATATTACAGGAACTGTATCATTGTTGCTAACTTCACTAGAAATGATGTTCGAAATTATTAAAAGTTAGATTCGATTACCACGCGTTGGAGAGTATTTTTATTAGGTTTGACTTTACATCACCATGAGGCGATGTTAATCTAGTTGTGCTCGGATGAAGTTCAGTGTAAGTAATATAATAATATGCCTCCGCACACATGATTTATGAATGCATGCTCTTCTATCATGATTGGCTTAAAAATTAATGATAAAGGCATTTAATTCAGCCTAATTAGTTGAAGAATAATTCAGGCTATTACAGCAATACATTATACGATGTCATTAATGTAGGGAAAAAACTGTAAGTATTAATATCACAGCTTCAAAATGTATTTTTTAGATACATTTTTGAGATTTTGTGAATTAACTACTCATAAATAAATAACATTTTAATACATAATTAAAAAGTAGCAAAAATGCGGAATGAAAAGTTGAAACACTCACTATGAATGCATGCTTTTCTATCATGATTGGCATAAAAATTAATAGTAATGACATTTAATTTAGCCTAATTAGTTGAAGACAAATTCAGACTACTACAGCAATACATTATACGATGTTATTAGCATTGGGAAAAAACTGTAAGCATTAATATTATAGCTACAAAATGTATTTTTTAGATTAATTTTTGAGATTTTGTGAATTAACCTGCTCATAAATAAATAATATTTTAAAACACAGTAAAAAAAGTAGCAAAAATGGGGAATGGAGAGTTGAAACATTTACTGAAAAGAATTTTACTCAGCTTTTGTGTTGTATCAATACGTATTGTAAAATTTATATCTAATATTCCTTTTAGAGATAAGCTACTTAAAGGCATTTTAAGAACCAAATTTCTTGTTTAGGGGAAGTAGCTGGGGGAGGTTTCTGTGCTTTGTATTTTTTTCTTAATAAAGAATTGTAGAAATGCAATACTTTATAACAAAAGAATATATAGCAAACAATAATTCATGAAAAGTAAACCTATGTCTAGACAGTCAGATATATTTCATATTAAACGATATTTGAAGAATTTGGAATTAGTGTTCTAACTTTCGGAAGAAAATATTGTTTGATTTTCGTTACTTTTTCCTTTTTTCAGGTCTCAGAGACATCGGAAAAGGCTTATTTCGAAAAGGCCTAAAATATCGTCTGACTTAATCAGGCATAGTATTATACGTTAATGTATTTATTATACGTTGCACAAAAAATACTTTGACGTTACAAAATGATGTAATGCTATATCACCATCATTAAAGTTAACATTTAGAAATAAATTGAAGAAATACACTCAAAACATTATCCCACGTTTTTTCCTTGTACAAAATAAACTTTTTGCTTGTGTATTATTTTTGCTATTTGTGCCTTTATTTTCTAACATAACAGTTCTTTATTCTTTTAAAAATAGAATAAAAAGGAGAATTTTGATCCCTCGACCTAAGCACTTAAAGTTACCACGAGAGAAAAAGAATAATTTTGCTGTAATCAATTTTAATGCACTATGCTATTCTATTTCATTCATTGGATTCGGGTAATTTTAGTAATACCGAATAAAGTAATAAAACTTCACATGAATGTAAACATCTTTTCATGCGAGAACATGCATAATTTATTATTTACAACAGAAATTTGTCTTAAACGTTTCCTTTTTCAAAGTAATTAAGCTTTAGAAGCAATCAAGCTCCACAAATTTAGAAAATTTATTTGTTAGTTTGTTCGAAATTGCAGACCCAATGTTAATCTAATTGCATTGAACTACGTTTCATAAATGATTTCAGCTTGTAAGATAAATAAAGTCAAAGCATAAGTTTTACCAAAAGATACATTTTTTCCACTTTTAAAATCATTCAAAAATTAAAATTTCCGTAAATTTGAAGAGAAAAAATTTAAACAATTTTGTATAAATTATACATATTAAAAAATTGGAATTCTAAAATAATTTTTAATCTAGCAAAGTAAATAATCGATAAATCTGTATTAATGAACAGTCCGAAATCATGCACAAAAATGAAAGATTTTAACAACGCAATTCATTAAGCTAAAATAATTCCAATTTCTTTTTTATTTGTTGCCGTTCTTGGTGGTCTTATGTGCTATCAGATTAAGCCAAATGAGTGTTTAGAAATTCATTAGATTAATTATATTCAGTATCATTTGGCAAAATGTTATTGCTTGAGATATACCGGAAATAAAAAAATTATCGAAAATTCTCCTGTAATTATTCTTTTTGGAGGGCTGTAAAACCTTATTTCCATAGTACCAATAATAGGTGTTTTGGTACCAATATTGGTATATTTAGTACCGATTGAAAGCACCATTTAGCATAATAGCAGTAGCACCTATTACCAAAATTAAATAAGCACTATTGGGGTCAATAAACAATTTTTATGGTTCTTCTTTATTTTTTTAAAAGCATTTCTTTAATTCAGTATGTACCTAGTGCCAACATTAATTAAGCATCATAGGCGTTGCCCTGTTACGGTTGGGTATAAAAATGAAAAAGTGACTTATATAAAAATAACAACTGAACTTTGAAGAAATATGGCCGAATTATAAAAAAGACAATTAATACAATTACGCATAGTGTCCGAATAACCCATATAACCATCTAAAAGAGAAACAGGAAAAAAACAAGTATTTACCTGGAGTTATCTTCTAGAAAATCTAGATGAATAAATCACTCAAAAAAAGATAGTCACTTTAGAAAATCAATATTTCTTTTTATTAGGTGGATCCATGTTGAGAGACAGGAAAATAGTGTCCAATAGTGGAGTAGTGGGTGAAGGGCAGGAAAGTCAGTGAAAAGGAAATTTTTAGATGAGATTCAGACGACTGTTGGTTGGCGATGGATCATTTTATCCCAGCATTTAGTGGGAACTGAGTAGTTACTGGAAACCAAGTTCTTTCAGCAATAACATCGGTTGGAGCATTTCCCAGAATTTCGGATTCTTCTCGGCTTTCCATACCAAGATAAACATTTTCAAAAAGTCGACGATAACGTTCATGTTTATTTTTGAAGATTTTTTTTTGGTGATCTAAGGTCAAAATTTTAATTTAGTGCAATTTTTTCTTTCACATTAAAAAGGAGCTGCATGATTAAGCATAAACCACTTCGTGACCACACCATGGCATGGCAGCACATGAGCTGGTCATAGGGAACATAAAAAAGAGATGGCGCAAGGAAGCCATTCTTCCAAGAAAAAGTTCTCCACCTCAGGGAGGTGAGAGCAAAAGAAAATATCAAAACTCCGTTAAGCGGAGTGCTGCAGATTGTTTGACCAACATGGCGGTAGACGTGACGCCATACCAAAAGATGTTCTCTTCCTCTATAAAAAGAGGAGGGGGGAAAAAAACGTCCTGCCAGGGAGCAGCGTGACGTTGGGGTGATGAAAAGATTCGAATGCACCGGTCATCTTTCGCGCGCTCTTTTTATAAGAGACAAAAACTTAAAAGTTGAAGTTGTAGTACATGTTGTGCAAGTTAAAGTTAAATTATCTAAAAATTACGAGTTGAGACGAAAAATTGATTATACGTTAAAAGTTACGGTTGAGAAACACAACATACACGCGGAGATGAAAGATGCCGACAACCAGTGCGAATTCTCAGAAACGAAAAGGGTGGAATGTTCTAGAAAAAAAAGGGGTTTTGCAAGGAGCTGGTAAGGAATTTTAGGGGGAGAATGTCCAAATTGCACCAAGATTAAGGGGCGAGAGGAATTATATCAGGAAATAAGGTTTTGTAACAGGAATTAACGAAATTGTGCCGAAATTAACTTAAACTTGTGACTTAATGTCACAGGCGTCAATAAAAATTTAACATTTTCTATAGTTCTCATATACGAATAAGTACATTTTCTCTATTAATTTAGCTTTTTAATGCAATTTTTTTAGCATTTACCATCTCTCATGATAGATGGCACTACTAGATAAGTTAATTCCACAGTTCACTCGACAAAACACAACTCTTCTACAACCTAATTCTAATGTTCATTACCTAAAGAAAAACCTAGAATAACCCAGCTTCAAAATCCAGTTAAATTTCTTTTTAAGATTTTGAGACCGTGCTAGTTGTAAATGATAACAAAACTGCATGTTTAATATTCACGATTTCTTAACCATGTCAGTTTTTAACAGTTTCAAATCCGTAAAGGTAAAATAAATGTTCTTAACCGTAAGCTTTAGGGTTAATCGGAAGGGCAGGTGGCAATCGGTTATTTTACAGTATTTTTAGAATGAAACTTCCAACAGAGATTGGCCATAACGATGCCTGGTAATTTGTACATTTAGTTATTTACTTTTTCCAATAAATGTTTGTTAATTTTCCTCGTCCCTTTTTGAAAATACATTTATTTAAAAACTGCTGTTCAAACTTTTAATGCTAAAATTTCATTGTTTACTAATTTTATTTTTTACTTACTATTCTCGTGCATGTAATGCAGAGAGTATCATTTCAAAATGAAGAATGTGACAATTACCTAATCGGTTCCCCACAGTCGCCGCAGATGGGAATCCTTCCAGGGATTTGTTCATTCATCAGCTGCCCACGACCTTTCTTGGGAGCTGGCTTAGATCCAGCTCCAGTTGGAACTCCGGGCTGAAGAGGAGCTGCTGTTGGCTTCAAATCCACAATCGGTGGCAATGCTGGAGAAAAGTTTTGAGCCTGCGGTCCAGAGGTTAAAGGTGCTGATACTTTCGGGGGCTCTGGTTGTTGCATTTGAACGTGATCAGCCTGTGGCTCCACTATAAATGAATTACGCGTTTCAACTTATGCATTTTAACAAATGAAGACTTGTAGAAATTTCTCCACTAAACTAAAACAGATCTTTAATGTCTGTTATTTTTTTCTTAATTTGGTCGAATATTTTATAGTTTTCTATGACTAAAGAGTATTAAACGTCATTTTTACTGTGTGATAGGAAATTTTAATTATTTAATTATGACACGAATAATTAAATAAAAAAAATTTGGCCTTAAAAAGGCTAAAAAAAAGAAGACATTATTTTGTCTTAGTGAATTTCATTCAGAAGCTTTCATTTATCATATAAATAGCTTCCTGAAATTGAGTTTTATCAGTTTTTCTCCTTGCTCTTCATCTTTTTATTGAAAGAATCTCATAAATATTCTTAATACATGTGATTAGAATTCTGTACAATAAATAATATAAAAAAATTTTACACTGTACATATTAGCACTATACACATTATACATCACTCTCTCTCTCTCTCTCTCATCATTGCTAAGTTCAAAAAGTTCTAAAATGGGTCTAAAAGTTTCAAAAACAGATTTATTTGTCTGAAAATTTTAAGAAATTTTGTTTCGTTCGGAACCGTCTTTCCGTATTCAAATCAGTTTGATTCAAATGATTTTATTTCCTCATTTGCCCATATTGACCACAAAATTAGTTAGTTAGATTAAGAAGATATTTTTTTTAATATAATGATAATAAGACTCTTGATGTACCTGGTTTTTTCTTCCTTTTTTATATTTAAAAAAAGATGATATTACGAAATTCCCTGTATTATATAACCCCATTTTTAATTTTACTCGTACATTTACTAATATATAAAAACATACATACTAAGTCTTCTTAACTATTTTTACTAGTTTTTCTTATTATTACATCGTCGTTTTGTTTGTAAATTGTATGTAAAACAAGAAAAAATAAAATCTAACCGGCTTTCACTGGAGCTGGAATTTCATCCACTGTCACGGGCTGGGCAGCAAATGTTGTTGGCAATGGAGGTACACAGAAAGAAGATCCGGTTGAAGCTGGAGCTTCTGAAGAAGCTGGAGGTTGGACAGGTCTGTAAGCTGGAAGACTTGTGGTATCAGGTGTTGACTGCGTCACTAAAGGTGAGTAATTTTGTGCAGGTGTTGGTGAGGGGTCGGATACAACACTTCCATCTAATTCGAACTGGGGTTTCGGTGGCCATACAAATTTAGTTTCTAAGCAATTAATTATTGTTAGTAAACAATAAAGTGGGTAGAACAAAGGGATTTAGGAAACAAAGAAAATGCATAAAATAGTGTCTAAAGTCACACTCATCCTGTCTTCTCAAAAATGCATCGAAATTTCGAAAACTTAAAAAAGCATGCATTCGATCATATCTATGAGACATTATTTGGCTAAGAGAACTGAAGCCTGAGATCAACAGAGGGACGCGAAGTCTTTTTTCAAATACGAATGTGGAGCTCTCGTTTTATATTTAGGGTGTTTTTTGAAGCTATTACACCAAACAAAATATAAAAACTACAGTATGAATACCTTAACCTTGAATCAAAGTTTTGATTTTAAACTATGTACTACTTTTGTCCAAAGGATTATGGACTTTTAAATTAACAAACAAATTAATTATTAAGAATATAATTAAACTTTTTATTTTTAAAAAAATGGACAATTTGGAGACGTAGTTTCACCTCTATCAAAATATTTTTTCCACCTAAATTCAATGAATTATTTTCAACTTATTCGACATATTTTTACATACCCAAACAATGGAGTTTAGAAACTTTAGCAATAAATAAAAAAATAAATTACGAAAGCCTTACAAATCAGTGATCTCGAGACAAAGATATAAATTTTTCTACAACAATGGGTAAGTAGTTATTATTTAAAGCAGAAAATTTTGAAAAAATCCTTAAATGAACACTGCAAAAACTACAAACACTTACGAACAAATTTGAATTTCGGAAACATCTCGCATTAAACTCAAATACTCTCCCCCTTTCAGGACATCAAATTAAACTCTGTATGTGCATTTATGTGGGCTGAAGACCTATCACATGCCATTTTTTAACAACAAGTTTATTAGTTACTAATATTCGAACTAACTATCAAATGTTGATTTCTTTAACCTCATCGGGACGACATTTTTCTACTCATTTTCGATAACATCATTTTTATAATCCAATAATTTTGACTCAACTAAGCAAAACGAAACGTAAAGTTGAATACCCAAAACAGCTTTAATAATATCGAGAGATACGCATAAGATGCCAAAAAATATCCTAAATTAGAACTAGTCATAATATAATAAACACACATTTTTGCTTAACTTTTTTTTCGTCTTATAAGTTTTTCAAATTGCATCGCAAAACATACTACACAATTTAAAACGCCAAAATTTAAAAGTATCATAATCCTAAAAAAATTTCTCGATTCTAAGGTTTCGAACCATCTTTTGCTTCTCACAAATTTTATCAAACACACAGATTTTCAAAAACTCGAATAGTTTTTTAGATAGAGAGTGAGTGTTGTGATTTAGGGACGGGGGTAGTTTCTGATATTAATGTTTGGAGTGAGGAAAGTTAGAGGCTAAGGTTACAGCACTACAAGCAATTATTATTAATATTTTACACCAGTACCTTATGTACAATTAATTCTTATTTTTGTCTCAATCTACAGCATGTGCTGATGGATTTTTAGTCAGAAAAACTATGCAGTTTGAGACAATGAAGAATTCATTGTAAATGCACTAATTATGATAAAGCGGCAGCAAAGATAGTAAAAGAAAACAAAATAAAAAGGAAATATTTAGTCTAATTCCATTTACAACATTATTATATATTCATATAAAAACTTTTATAAGTGTAGTTAACTTTTTAACTAATAAATCAAACTGAAAGAAAATAAATCTGAATTTCAAAATAAAAACTTGTTTGCTTAAGTTTTTTTTAAAGAATTGTCCTGTTTAAAGTTTTTAAAGTTTAAATTGTAAATAAACAATAAATTTTAAAAAAAAACACTTTTAACCCTTTGAAACAGAATTTTCGTGAAACATATTTTTCATTTTTGCATTTTAAATTAGGTTAAAATAAGTGAAAAATATAATATTTAGCATTTTAACGATTTATGGTTATGGAATACATTTCGAAAAACTGTTGTCTTTTCCTACGTTAAAGGTGAACTCTTCCAAACAAGGCTCACTTCCAAGCAATATTTTTTTTCTTCAAATTTGCACTTATTTGCAGTTATTTTTATTTTAGAGAAACAGTTATTCATCTTTGAAATTTCTTTCATTTACAATATCAATTATTGATGGGTTTTTTTAATGTGAAAGAAAAAAAATTCAAATTACTTCTTTTAAATTTGATATTTTAGTATAATTCCGATAATTTAAGAGTTTTTTTGTAGCTATGGACACCGGGGTCCCATCTGCGTCAAAGGGTTAAGCACGAAGTACAAAATTAGCTGTAATCTATAAAACACAAAGTGTTCCGAAAAAACTACATATAATATGTATTTTTAGAGAATCCTTTTCGAAACTGAAAACAAAGAAGCATAGATACTTTGTTAACAGATTGATATTTTTACCAAGAAAAAAACATCTTAAAAATCTGCCAAATAACGGTACATTAGGGCAGAAGTAATTAATCAACATGACAGGTTTGATTGAGTGAGTAAGATAGGAGTTGAAAGAGGTTTATTAGTAACATAGTGTCAGCTTTCACAGTTTCATAAAGTTTCAACTTCCAAATAAACATGTTATGATGTCTATTACATCCATTTCTCTGTACTGTTATTAATCAGATTTTAAAAGCGTTTTTGTTCTCTTCGTTAAAATATAAATTTTGCGATCCTCAACATGCGAACCTTCTTGATTTAGTATTTGTTAAGGATTCTTAACAAATATTAAAGTCAATCTTTATGAAATACCATGTATATGCAGAATTCGCTAAATAAATATTCCAAATTATCTTATTTTTATTACAAGGTGTTCCGTAATCACCTTACCTAATGTATATTTTTGGAATCACTGTCTTGATTGAATTTAAAAAACATATACCAATTTATTTTATTACAATATTGAAACAGAACACTATAATGAATAAAACGCAGTGAATGCCAATCAATGTGGAGTTGGAACTAAAACGAGATCCAAACGAGAGTTATTACAGTATGTAATTGAGACACATTTCTGCTTCTTTTAAAACTCTCAGGTTTTGATTCATTTTAACTTTAAAACTGCTGGAAATGTTGCATCATACTTAAAATCATATCGTTGTTTTTTTCCTCACATTAATCCATTAATTTGAGATTGCTAGCGTGACAAGGAATAATTTAAATTATGAATTAAAATAAAACACTTTGGAGTCCAAAAATACACATTAAGGAGTTTATAGTTACACATACATTTATAGTATTCTTATACACCAACAAAAAAATTTCTAGCAAAGGCACCGTACTGTTTGGTAAAGACATTTCGAGTGAAAAAAATTAAAATTTAAGAAATTATAAATAATAATTTAATAATTAAAATTATAATGAATAATTTTTTGATTATAAAGTTTTTAAAAAAACGGTATTTTTTTTCGTATCGGCAATTTTTAACGGTATTTTTTTTAATCGGCATTTATTTGGTAATTTATTTCGTATGGCAAATATTTACTGGAAATTCTGGTTTTAAAAATTTTCTCCTTATTACCGCAAATTTTGTAAAAAATATAAACTAAAATGTAAATATATGAATGTAAATATATAATTCTCTAATAAATTATTTTTGTTCTAAGATATTTTTGTTCTTCTTTTCGTGTTCTAAGATATCATGATGGAATAACCAAATTTTACCACATTTGTCAAGTTTTATCTTAAATTATAGAATTGTTAATCTTGCCAAAATCATTGTCAAATCGCTTCTGTAAAAACTAACGAGCCTTTTGGTGTTCCCGTAGAGGCAATAACATAATAAATTTCATCATATTCTGGTGGTTTTGACCATGCTTTTTTTCTGAGTGTACTAAAATAAGTATATTAAAATATTTACTTGATAAACCTCCTCCAATTTGTCTGTAGTCTACGTTGTAACTTGATTGAGATGATTGAGTCATCACTTTTTGGGAGATTTGAGTTGTTTTTTGAATAGTTTGGGACATTTCAGACGTTTGAGACATTTCCATTATTTTAGAATCAGACATAGATGAAAAGATTGAAGATAGAGACTGTAACGGATACGGAAAAAAAAATTTATTACTTCATTCAATCACAGCAATAGTAAAACAAACATCTTATAGCATACACAAAAGTTTCATGGTGTACGAGAAGAAGAAAATCAAATATAATGTTTATATAAGGTATAATAGAAAAACATGGAATTTTGTTGCAACATTCACTTAAATTTCTGGTGTGGCTAATTAGTTAATTTTCGCGTTTTCCTGATTCCAAGGTATCAGATCTGTGATGGATGGTGCTTTTTCCCCTTAAGTAAGTATGTAACTAAATTCAGTGGGGCAACAGTCCATAGAGGGCCAAGGCCTACTGTGTCCATCCCAGTTCTCCTGACCTTGGGCTTTGGTGTGCAGGAGCAGATGTTCCGGTAAGGTAGTCAGACGAACCATTTATAGACCCACTGAAGGGATGAAAGGCTGAGTCAACATGGCCGGCCTGAGGAACATATATATATACACAGGGTGATTCTAAAAAGATGGGCAAAATTTTAGGAAGTGATAGTACACACCCAAGCAAACAATTTTTATCAAAGAATGCATGGTCGAAAACAAAACGCAATGGTGCTGGCGAATTTGGAAAGTTGTTTGATGCAAACGATGCATTTAGTTCCAGCAGAACACAGCACCAGCTCATTACGTACGAGAAGTGCGAAACTACCTGGACGTAATCTTTCCAAACCAATGGATTGGGCGAGGTAATCCTATAGCTTGGCTACCGTTCTCGCCAGATTTTTTATGCCTGGATTTCTTTTTGTGGGGACAGTTGAAGGCTCTTATGTATTAGACTCCCATTGAATCCGCAGAAGAACTTGTCGCAGAGCTTTCGGCCGCTGCAGGGAAAGTTCGTGATATGCCTGGTGTATTTCAGAATGTTAGTCTATCTTTTCTTCGCCATTGTACTGAGCGCATAGCCGCTGCCGGCCACCGTTTTGAACACTTATTGTAATCACATGCCATTAAATTTGCTTTTATAACTTAACTTCATCGTTCTTTGTGTGTTTTTGCCTCATATAAGAACACGCCCTCTAGCGGTTTTGCGGGGTTTTTTTCGATCATGCATTCTTTGATAAAAATTGTTTGCTTGGGCGTGTACTACCACTTCCTAAAATTTTGCCCATCTCTTTAGAATCACCCTGTATATGCATGCAACAGCTCAAAAAGGCAAGCTCCATCACTAATAATTGGAATGGCAGTAACCTTCACCATAACACCGCTTGTGTTTAAAATTTCTACAACATTTTAGAAAGTATCAGTAAAAGTCTAAATAATTACTTCGTAACTAAATTTTTATTTAAAAAATTCTTAAAAAGTACAGAAACAATATTTACACTAATTTTAGAATGGTTTTCGATAAATAAAATAAACAGAGTTCTACAAAATAATTCCTGGGGCCTGAACATTAAGCCTTTTATGGCTCAGAAACCGTTGGGGATATTGGATTAGAGTAACATCTGAACAACTTGGATGTGATCGGTAAAAAAGATAGCTTATCAGACACCCTACTTTTACTGTGAGAAATCGAACCTCCACCGAAGCCGTTGTAGTAGTAGAATCTACTCACAGCACCGAACAGGAGATTCTTTCTTACTAGGTTTGAGATAAACAATACATTGAAACATGAGATTAAAAAAAAGTCTCTTTAGAGATCTGCTTAGGCTAAAACCCATATTTCTATTAACGAGTAACTCAATTATAGAAGTTTGTTTAACAGAGATTTTTTTACACAATTTAAAGAAGAGTTTTAAATTGAATACCTGCTCTGGTGGCATATAAGGTTTTGATTCGAATGGTAGGGGTCCAGATGAATACGCTAGTGGAGCCGATGGAGCCGCTCCGGGTGTCGGACTTGAAGGCGCTGGTACACGATGGTACTCACCAGATATCCTCTGAAAATTTAAAAAAAAAATGGAAATAATAGCAAACTTAAATGTGAAGAATCTATAAGTTGATTCAATACTTTATTAAAAGTACTTGTGATTTTTTTTCATCAACTGAATTCGCTTGTGTTTTCAATCTAACATTGATTACAGTTTCGAACCATTATATATGCAATAGTTTGTATACAGGAAGAGCTCCCCTCACCATAAAGTCTACGGTCATCTGTTGCTATGTAAACGCGAAATAGCGCATTTCCAGTCGAGGAGTTTTTTTCTCCCCCGATTTCTTATCTCTCACTGACCCGAGCCAAAACCTGTCTTAAACAGTGACCCATACTTGAAATAGTTACATCTGGTAGCCATAATCACAGCCACTGCTACTGACGAATGGCTAGGAGAGTTCTTTCAATAGACAGACTATATTACACCAGTTAACGTAGGGCTAGAAAAATTGGTTCATACATCCGATTAAAAATAGTAATGTCTAAATTAGTTTATCTTATTAAGAAATAATTCTCGTCCTTCTTCTTTATTTCCATTAAAAAAATCATATTTCTTATTCATGGTATGCTATAACGGAAATATTTTTTGCAAACAAATATTCAACAAAAATCTATGAAGTATTTTTATATGTTATGTGTAGTCTTGCTGATTTGGTATCATAAACCTGAGTGACTTTAGAACGATCTTCATATTATATTATAATTTCGCAACTTCTTTTTCATGTGCAAATAAGCATAACATTTTACACATATTTTCAAAATTTCAACAGTTTCTTAATCTTTTTTATTTCTTTTTAATAAGAAGTTATGCAATATATTTTGGCTAAACTTTATGTAAAGATGTAAATCACATTAGAAATCTGATTAGAGAGAAGATCTTGGTTAATATAATCCAATCATAATAGTTTGGAATGGTTATATCTTGAATTTATAAATTGCACTTAAACCAAATTCATTCTTACCAGATAACTCAAGCATCTCAACTAATATACAAAACATTATTTAATGATTATAAATAATTATTAACAACATTATTATCATGGTATCCCGTAATTTTTACAGTAAAAATTATCGGAAAACCGCTGGAATCTAATTAAATAAATCTTACTACAAAAAGTATGGTATAATATTTTACGGTAAAATCCATTTTTACCATACACCCAAAGTGCCGATATTTTATACCTCAGCTTGATCCGAAAGATTTCCCAGTGTAGGCAATGTTTTTTTCATATAGATGGCGCTTCATTACTTTAGCATCTACCAGTTTTCTTACATGAGTGAAAAAGGAATAAATCGTCTCACATCGTTTGTGCTACAGTTCCCTTGTGATTCGATTTTAACCATTTCGCGACGAGTTTTTTTTTCTTTTTTACAATAGAACAGTTTTGGTAGCATAAACTATGAGTCGGGCTGGGCACACTAGAATGCTAAAACTAAGATGTTATCTTTTTAGGAAGATTTTAAACACTGATTTAGGACCGGGACATATATGTCCCATCAATCCTGACAGCTATGACATACCCAATTGTCTTTAATGAGTAATTTTGTAAAGAAAACCAATGATCACGTAGAACTGTTGGGATCATATGTTCCCACTATCCAAGACGAGAAGGACACATATATCCCTATAATAAAAACAGAAGTAAAACATTGCCACTTATCAGTTTATTAGAGGCAATCAGCTTCGTGAATAATTTCTCTGGCCTTAGATTTATAGATCAATCAAAATTTAATCGAAAATAGGCGGTATTTTCCAAAATTAAACTATTTACGTTCGTACAGTATGGAATGAGCAGCAGCAACACTTCAAAAACGCAGGAATTTCATTATGTATGGTAGTGCCATCTATGAAAATACCTTGAAAAATACCTTCAAAAATATTGGCAGGCCTAGTGGGAAAGTCTCCCATTAGACAGAGAAGCGTTTCTGTCCCAAAAGATTTTTTTGAAATTTGCTTGGGACGTATGCGTCCCGTTAGGCGCAAAAGGGTTAAAACTGTTATAACTGTGTAATTACACAGTTTTTAACTTTATAGAAGAGTTATTTATATCTTTTATAAATTTTGGAATATTTACTTTAAATGGCTGAGGAGAAATGCTTCTAAATGCTAATCCTCCAGAGGAGCTTGGGGATTGAGGCAAATTTGTTAAATGCTGTCCAAATGGAGTTGGGACTGACAGAGGAATGGATGAAACTGGAAGCGATGGAGCCACTGATGGTAAAGGAGCAAGTGGAGCTGATTGCGGCAATTCAACCGGCTTCGGGGGAGCTACTGGAGTTGGCACTGATTGCGGCGCTGGTGCTGATGGCGCAAACCTATCAAAATCAAGCAACAACAAAAAAGTTAGATTTTAAATAAATTTTAATTATTTTAATACTGAAAATTATTAAATATCGGGTAAACTTACGCAGCTGGAGCTGGCCCTGGTGTTGAAGCCTGGCCTGCTATTACTCGGGCAGCAAGTATTGCATGAGTATCGCAGTATAATTTGTTCTGGATATTATGAAATCCTACAAAGTATAATTTACATATACGTACATTAAATGCAAAAACTAAGTTTCCAATTCTAAAACAATCAAAATTAGTTTTTTATTCGGTTTTTCTGAACCTTAATTTATAGAAAATTATCGTCTTTATTCGAATAAAAACTTTCTTTATATATTTCCTTATGCATATTTATGAATATTGCTTGCAAATTATTGCCATACAAATGCACAATTAAAATTATTAAAATTGTAACTTAGTGACTAAATGTTTCACTTTGTTTCAAAAATACCTAATGATTGCAGGGTATTTTTGTACAACAGGAAATACTTTATTTTACAAGGTTATTCATAATTCCCTCCGGAGTTTCGAAGCGTTATAGTAAAAAAACGCAGACGAATATGGCAGAAAAGAACATATGAAATTATTCCGAAAATATTCAAGTTTTAATTTAAGCAGTTGCCGGTAGATGGCAGTAACATGTACCTCTGAAGCCAATTGTAGTTAAAAAAAATGGCGTTTACAGGTGGAGGGAATTATGAATAACCCTGTATAATTTCGTAAAAACTCCATTGAGTGAGTTTTGCGAACCGGAACCAGTGTAGCGTGCTTCAAATCGCTTCCACTTAAAGTGGTAAACATTTGAAGACCTCTAGGACCTCGATGTACTTTTAGTAAATAATTTAATTGCAAGAATTAGATTCGAAATTCAATTCGAAATTTTGAAACTATTTGAAACGATTTTTGCTAAAATCATATTATGGTGCTGAGTTAAGTCATATTATCGTAGTATTTAAAACTTAATTACAGGATACTATAGTGCAACTTGCATAGAAAAATTGTTTAATTTAGCACCTTATTAAGATTACAGTAACTTTGAACTCTATTATGGTTCAGTGTTTCAGAGATTTTTCTCAGAGTTTTATGTAAGGCATCGGTTATCAAGAAGTGTTTCTTAGTACTGAATCCCTGAGCTTCATGAAAAATTTACCAAATGCTCTGAGAGTTTGGATTTGTTCGTTATTTTAAATCAGTAGCACTGAGTGAGTGGTTTTGGATTGGACACAAAGGATAAGCATCTTTCAGTTTCTGAGAAGGTCAGTAAGACACTGATCCCTTTTGTCTTAACTTACTAATGCCAAACTAGTTTTTTCTTTAAAGTATGTATACACCAAAAGTTGGGATAACTAGAATAGATGCAACTGCGAAAGAAGTTGTCTAGCATAAAACCTAATTTTAAGGCTTTTATTCACAATGCACAGTGGGCCAGCATCCAAGGTTTCGTGGCCAAAATTAGTATTTCGATAAAATTTGTTTCAAAATTTGGGGTTTTTTATTTAGGGTTTTTATGTGCAGGTAAATTGAATTTATAGTTGAAATTTTGAAAAACATTAAAAATACCAACAGAAAAAAAATGACTGCTGAAATAGGGCGAGCAAAAAAAAATTATATGTATATATATATATAGTTCGTTTAAATAATTAAATATAGCAATGAAAATATAATAATTTTCGTAATTTTATATTAAAAATGAAAAGCAAATTATATTTCCGAAATATTACAAAATAACGCGAAAACATGAAGAAAAAAAACATAATTTTTGTTTTTCGGTATATTTAGTCCACCTTTGCAAAATGGGGCAGGTTTTTTCGAAAGAAGAAACATCAAAGAAGACAACAAAAAAAAGTTTAGCTAATTACCTCGTGGAACTTTTTGGAGATAAGTTTCGAAAGTGATTCAAACATTATAAAATGTCAAATGACAAGATATAAACTATAAGTTTGTCAAGAGTATTAACTAATCCAACAAATTTAAAAATTGTACTATAATTTCAGACTAATTACTCTGATAAAAATGTAACAGAAAGATGAAATTCCTATATATATTTCTGAACAATAAATTTAAAAGTTACATTTAAAAAAAATTTTAATATATTTTTCACTACATTGTACTCTCGTCGGTCCGAAAAGTAAATTGTAATGTTTGGAATGATTATGAATATGTGAATGGGGTGATATTAAAGCTGCCTACACATATAGTTGAAAATTTAATTTTGACTTTTGGCCGAAGATCATGGTCTTCTGGCCCACAGTGCAATGGCAAAATTTGATTTTTCCCATCCAATCTTTTCAAAATAATTAGTAGGTTGGCAGTTGCGAAAAAAACTTTATTTTTAAAGTGGAGGTTTATGGTGAAACAATGATGTATGAAATGAAATATTGAAGCAAAATAAGTATGTACTGATGTATATTTGATGACGCATTGATTTTTTTCTTTTCTTACCAGTATTTTTAAGAGTCGTCCCACATGTACTACATCTAAAACAGTCTTCGTGGAGTATCTTGTCCGTCAGATTTACGAATGGTCCTCTAAACACAAAGTGCTTTATTACGAACTATAAGATTTTATGTTTTAAGGCTAATTTTATAATTTAGTGTTATGAACAGTTACTTACACAATTGTTCTCCCACAATCAGAGCACGGTCCTTGAGAAGGTCCCTCGGGTATGGAAGATGGTGGAGGTGGAGCTTGTCTTAGTGGAGCCGGTGCAACTGGGGCAGGTGCCGGTGCCGGTGCTGGAGGTGCAGTTTTAGGTTTAGAAGGAATACTTGGCGGTATCTTAGGCTTAAATATTGGAGGAGAGGAGCACATTGTTGGAGATTTAGCTAAAGGCAAAACATGTATTTTATTGTTACAAAAAATTGCGATTTCAACTTATTTTTTATCTGTTGAAGTTATCGATGAATGTTATGAGTCAAACATCTTCAAATTTGATGAATTATTATCATGACATGTTCATTAATGATTAATTATATATATCATGTTCAATTAGCATATCATTGACATTGATATTATTGATATCATATCATTGATATCATATCATTGATATGTATCATTGATATGTATCATACGTATTAGCATATCATGTTCAATAATGCATATTTCGTTCTTCAGTTAGAAAAGTTAATACTAAACAGGCCCATCCTATATAACTCAGTATAAAAATCAAACAAATCCAAACCATATTGCAGCCTTAGCATTTTAATGTTGGGTGTCACCATGACAACTAAATAATAGTACATACAGTTTCTGTTGTAAACTAATCATTTTGAATTTATTGTTACGTTCTTTTTTTAAATAAAATAAACAAAAGTTATTCTAACTTTTCAATAACAGCTGTCAATTCTTTTGACAATCTAATTAAAAACTTGCAACTAAAAATAACTAATTTGTTCTTATTTCTAGGCAGGGGAGCTATTAATCTGGATGCTTTGCGCTAAAATTTCGAAAGCCGTTTTTTAAATATATGGATGGAAGTACTTTTTTTTGCAGCAAACCAAGAACCAGAATTTATCGAAAATATTCTTCCTTGGAAAAAAAAATTTCCTCTTAGTAAATATTAAACTAATTACTATAAATATAGCTAGCTTATATCCGGATACGATGTTATTTGTTTTCAATAGGAAAAAAATATAGTATATTCATATTTTGTCCATTTATATTTAGATTTTTTTTCCAAATGCTTTAGAAAATAAAACAAAGAATTAAAAAAATACAATGATAAGCGAAATTTTCCTCAAGCAGTGTATCGTAAACATTTTTAGTTGACGACCCACCAAGAATATTTAGAATAATTTGCAACACTCTTGAATGTAAAAAATAATGATTTATAGGATAAAGAATAAAAAATCAAATAATTAAACTCATGAAGGGGTAGAATTTTTGAAGCACATTTAACAATATATAGGGGTACGCATGTTTACCACACAGGCTGAAAAACACGATTTCAAAGTTTTCCAACTCTTTGCTCAAAATTTTCAAATTTTTAAAAAATAGCATTGTTAAAAAATTTCAGATAAAATTACAGTAAAAAGTACTAGCACTCAGGGTGTCGCTACTTTTTTACCGCAATTTGACTCAACATTTTTTACAGTGTATGCTCCAGCACAAAGATCAATACTAGGGCATTTCATGATGAGGCGTATGATTTGCTATTTTTTGTCGAGATATTAAACTTATGTGTGTCGTGGAATTGATAAATTTATTGATACAGATTATTATTTACGCATTTTAGATGGATTTTTTCCTTTTTACTTATATATAAATTTATTGAAATTTAATTTTTTTTGCTCATAAAATATATACCGTTTTCACTGAAATCTACTGCCTACTATGTTAATACATTTTAAACTTTCAAAGTGAATGAATTTTTAATGAAAAATATCAGCAGGAAATATAATGCAATTTTTTTGTTGAAAAAGAAGATTCTTTCTGTTTAATATTTATCAATTTGCAATTTAATTTAAGGAAAATCTTCTCGTCTTCACCGTATTTATTTGAAGAAAAAAAATTAAATTAAAGGAGTCTTCTGAAGAAAAAAAATTTACCTCGATGTTTTGAAATGTAATCAAAACTGCTATTCCAAATATAAAGCTCATTTTCGTGAAAACGTACATTTTCTAAAATTCATTTATTTTAAAATTAAATTTATTTAAAGATTGATATGACAGATACTATGAAAAAGCTTGTCTCATGATCAACAACACTCCTTCGTTTTCAAAAATCAATAAATTATAGTTTTATTAGTTTTCAAATGACCATTAGAACCCCAAACTGATTAGTTTGTTAGGTATAATGTAGACATTCATTTAAAACAGGGATGGGCAAACTTTTTTGGTCGAGGGGCCAAAAATCAAGAAAAAAAATTTTTGGTGGGCCAAGTGAAAACTTCGAAATTTAAGAAAAAAAGGTGATATGCAAGTTTTAATTTAAATATTTAGTGAGATGAAGGAAATTGCGATTTCATTTTTAAAAGTTCCTTACATTAAAGTTGGAAGTGAGATATGCTTATTTTAAGGAACGAGGCTAAATGCTTTGCTGTTGGTCTACTTCTGAAATGATTTTTTCTAAGGTTCATAGTTGAAAACTCTTGCTCACATATATAAGATTAAGCAAACATGCACTGATTTTCTGAGCATGAAATATTAAATTTCGGAAACTAGCTTTTGGTAATAATTTGTAAAACTTTGGAATAGTATTTAGAAACGACTGCTTCAGATGTTTGTTAGATTGTCCGCTCTTTGGAGCGGAAAATGCGCAGTCTGCCAAATGTGAAGTGCAATTTACCTATATTAGATTCCATAACTCAGCTCCTCGAGAGAGACAAGCGCTAGTTGGAGCCAATCTACGGCTATTCTATAAAGAACTTCTGCTTTCAACATTTTACCAATTGAAGCTGTCTGAGCTAACTATATCCATCAATTTATGTTTTGTAGAACAAGAATAGAGGAAGCAAAAACTTCATCAGTACTTTGTTGAAAAAGGAAAAACAGAAGTAATTTTAAACATAGTCGACAAGAAAATGGATGTATATTGTTTATATTTGCCACTGATCGACAAATAAAAATTCTATCCGCGGGCCGGATAAAATCTTCCAGAGGGCCACAGTTGGCCCGCGGGCCGTAGTTTGCCCATCCCTGATTTAAAATATCAAACAATTTTTTTTTAGATATTATCTTAATTTCTTATCATTAACGTTAAAGGTTCTTAACTCCATCCCTCACCAATTATTTAAATTCCACTTCCAAATATCTGGAAATATGATCCGGTAAATAAGGATTTTACGGTAAAAAATACCGGCACCCTGAGTGCCCGTACTATTTACCGCAATTTGACCCAGAATTTTTTATATCGCATATTTATCTCGACTAAAAAAATGATAGGGTTTTATTATACGATATTAACATCTAGATATTTATTGTAAATTAATTCTTTTTTTATACGCATGGAGTAAAACATTCTATTAAAATTACCGTACTGTAACGCTAATGACATTTTAATAGAAAAAGATATATTTTTGGTTAAAAAAATACGGTATTTAAGCCATTCATTTGGTAATATTTTCATTTTTATAGTAAAGCGTTTACCGAAAATTCAAAATTTTCAAATTTTCAGCTCTTATTACCTCACACTTAGTAAAAGTACAAAATTGAAGAATAATTTAACGCAGTAAATGGTAGATGGTTTTCATGTCATGCTTTAAGATATCATTAAAAAAATATCTAATTTTATCACATTTACCATATTTTATCACATATTATACAATCAGATTTTATTGTTAATTTTACCAAAATCATTAAATAAAATTACCACTCAGGAAAAAATTACCGAGATCTTGGTGTTCTCATAGGGACAAAATCACTGTAAATCTTACGATATTTTGGTAGTTTGACCATATATTTTTATTCAGTGCATATAGAAATTATAAATTTTTAACACCAACGTTTTAGAGCTCCATCATTTATTGATATAGGGTAAACCAACCAGTGAAGGAACATTTCATATATATTGATTAAAAATAAGAATTTGAAAGTTTTTCTTTAGATTGATTGGTAACAATAGCTTACTGCCAAACAATAGGAAGTCATCTAGCAATGTTTTGGATTACCTGGTCACATAGACTTCTCTGGAAAAATTTTTGAATTTGTTATTATCTCTGCAACACCTTGTTTCTTTGAAAAAATTATAAGGTGAGTGTTTGTATTTATATGTTTGAAGTGGAATTAATTGCATGTAATAGTTTTATTTTTCTCACTGTGAAAAAGAGAATTCAAAATATAGTTATTGAAGTTACGTTTTATTTTTTTTAAGCATCATAGCATAATAAAGTACTGAGATAAGGGGGTGTTTATTCACTGGATCACCAAACGATGAAAAACCAGTGAAGGAACAAGTGTTCCTTTACTGGTTTTTTTTCTAAGTTAATGAAAATAAAAGATAAACTTTAATTTTCTTGTACCTTTAGTGATGTTCCGCATCAAAAGTATGTTAAAAATACGAAAAACAACTTCTAACCAGTGAGGGAACAGGCATGTTCCTTTACTGGGCATAGATTTCCCAGTGAATGAACAGTATGTGTTAATATGTTGACACTTTAATTTTCAATTCATGATTGCAAAAAAAAGTTTACATTTTCCAAGTATTTATATGTTCTAATTTCAAGACTATGCTTGTTTTTAAATATTTGTATGGCTTATAAATTCATAAAGAACATTAAAAAACAACCAAAATTAAGTGTTCCTTTACTGGGTGTTCATTCACTCGTAAAAGCTGTTCCTTCACTTGGTCTTCTTACGACTTGTTATTTGAACCTCCAAAACTTTAAAACAATATTATGTAAGTTCTCTACAGTTTTTTTACATAATTTGTAATTAGTAACAAATATGTTGACACTGTGATTTAACTAAACTTACGAATTTTGAAATTAATATGATGTTTTGAAAGGCAAGCGAAGCTTAAGTGTTCCTTCACTGGTTAGTTTACCCTAACTAATTAAACTTTCAATCATAGGTAAGATGCATTTTATTAAAATGTGAACGATTTCTTGCTTAGAACTAGCGATACCAAAAAGCATCATTTGAAATGTACCTAAATATTATATATAAATTTAGATTAAAGTTCATATTATAGCATGAATTACATATTATAGCAAGGCGTCATATATTCATTTAAAGGATCATTAAATGACAATATAATTAGAATTTTGATGGATCATGATTTGTAATCATGATTGATCTTTTTATGTAATCGATTGACGCATATCCTAAAAGAAAATTATAATTTTTAATAATTAGTATTTATTAGTATTATTAGTTATTTTTAATAACTAGTATTTTTAATAATTAGTATGGTTATTTCGGTTTTCCATAGTTATTCTTTTTCAAATTTCATTTTCTGATCGATACTTTGTGTCATTACTGATTATTTACATTTCTGTCGTTAGATAAAATAGATTTAGCTTTATTATTAGAGATTTATTACAAAGAACTATAAAAATGAAAAAGTTTTATTTGCTACCTAAATAATGTATCTAAATCAAAACTACATATCTCAAGCAAGAAAAAAGATTTTTTAAATACATTTTAAAGATTCATTAAGTGACAATATCTCGAATTTTGATGGCTCAAAATTATTACTTTTTTGTAATCGAAGTACATATCTTTAAGAAAAGTCAATTCTTACTGGAAATTAATAATTACTCTAAGTATGATAACTTCGCAATTCCACCATTACTCTTTTTCAAATTTCACTATCTTATAAATACTTTGTAAAGAAGTTCTAGTACAGTGCGCAAAAAAATCAGACCACCCAGAATAACTTTTGATACAATGATTGGATCCTCACGCTCAATCTGAATGGTTTGAGGAGATGATCTCAAATATGCTAATTAGTTAGTAAAGACGATATTTTAAGTTACGAAAGAAGACACAATAGCGTATTTTCTCTGAAAAAATGCAATATTTTTCGACTCGGACTTAAGTATTTACCTATCCGTTATCTAAGAAATGTGGTCCCCATAGCTTGGTCAGAAGAGCGATCCTACGTTTGGGCCTCTTAATGTTAATTCACATTTTGCGTCTTTCGCCATATCTCGAGAAATTTTTAAGCGAATTGAAAAATTTTTGCACTTAATTATAAAATTCATTTATCCAAGAGTTATTCCACTCAAAAATTAAATTTTAGTAAATATTGAGTATTTTTTAATGTTTTATTTGACAGCGGTCGAAAAATTTTGTCTTGTAAGGCTTACATCATTTTAAAAAATAAAATTTTACATAGCAAAATACAAAATCTGATTGTAATCGGTCTAATAGTTCCTGAGTAATCGAATTTCAGGAAAGTCGTATATTTGAAATTCGATTTCACCAGAAATTATCTTTAGATTAGAATATTTTATAATTGCGTGCAAAAAAAATTTGAATTCACTTAAAAAGTTCGCTTGATATTACGAAATGCGCAAAAAGTAAAATTAATATTGAAGGGTGCAAACTTTAGACCACTCTCCTTGCCAAAGTATGGGAAACATATTTCCAAATTGTGGCTCCTATATTTCGGAGATCAGAAATACGAATCAAAAAACGGTGCGTTTGTTCAGAGATAGTACGTTTTTGCGTCTGATTTCGCAACTTATTATATTGCCTGCACTAACTACTTAACATGTTTGACTTCACTTCCTAAGATTCAGTCTCATAACGTGAAGATCCGATCATTAGATCAAAAGTTATACGTGGAGGTCAATTATTTTTTTGTGCATTGCACACACGGTGCAAAATAAGCCAACAGCACAATTCCAGACTTAAATAGCTATATTATAATTTTTTTTTTCATATAATTCTGCGCTAACTTAGTTTATCTTAGTATTCTGTCTATTTTCTTAATATTTATTTTTAGGCTTCTTCGAAAATCTTAAGAGAATTTAATTAAAGCGCTCTCAGACTCCTTGAAAACACTTCGAAAACTTTGATATTTATTAAATCCGTCCCTTTCAAAACTTCATTTTACTACAATGGTGCTATTATTATCGTCAAAATATTATAAGTATATATTGAGTTTATTTAAATAAAAACGAACGTTTTGCTTTACATCGATTGAATAATACTGTCATTTAACTTAATTATTATTGTCCAAAGGATGCCCATCGAGGCTCTTAGTTAATTATGCTGATCGAAAAATTAATAACATTTTATTAACAGAAACAACAACAATAGTAAAAGACAGAGCGCCGCATTAAAGTATTAATTAGCTCGTGCATATCATCTGTTGACGTGGGTGGAAGCGTTACGTAATTCTTTGCGCATGCGCGATGCTTATATATTCTTTAATTTCTCTTAATTCTCCACAAATACATAATAGATATTATATAATTATTTTAAAATTTATAAAATGAAGATTATCTTTAGCTACCCTCATTTTTGATATCGGAGATATACGCAGGGATAAAGAAAATTCTGATAAAATTATTGTTCCGTATAGTAATGATATTTCTGATAAAGAAATAATTAAAAAAACATAATTCTTGTTAATAAAACCAAAATGCGTGATTTTTAAACCGTTAATATGGTAATTTTTCCCATTCATATGGTAGCGGTTTACTGGTAATTCTGATTTGTAATAGCGGTTTGCTAGTAATTCTGATTATTATTATAAATTACTGTTCTTACTACCACACACTTAATAAAAAGTTCAAAACTGAAAAGTAAATTTAACCGAAAGAAGGATTTTAATACCATGCTCTAGGCTATCATGATACAATTATCGAAGTATACCATACTTACCAAATTTTATCAAATATTATAAACCCATATTTTATTGTTAATTTTAGCAAAATCATTACCAAAGCTATTCGTCTTAAAGTATTTTTTTTATATTTTATAATCGTCGTTGAACAGCCTAACCAATTTTATGGGTTTACGACTACTAATGTACGACTACTACCATAGCCTTGCAATTTTGAACCCAATCCAGAGGACAAGGGAACTCCTGGGTCGAGTATTGGGAGAAATTTGCCTTCGTGGAGGACTTTTTGATGGAGCTAACCCGCATTTGAACCTCTCACGGATAGTCTGACGGCAAGGGGAATCTGTCCCATGATCCGTCTACCACTGAGGATATTTCACGTCAGCACTGTGGTCGGTGCAAGTCGGATGCGGAATTCGTATCGACTGGGATTCGTATCGTATCGTCTTAAAGTATTAAGCTTTTTGGTGTTCCTATTAAGACAGAAGCACTCTAAATTTTATCATATTCTGGTTCTTATGACCATATTTTTTCTTAATGCGCCATTTAGAAAAAAAAGTGTTGTATTCGAAAATATTCAAAAACAAATAAATAAATAAGCATTTCATAATTATTTCCTTCCTTATGAATTATTTATTTTGTGAACACCTAATATTATACTTATTTACCATTAATATGATTTAGAATTATGTTAGAAAAAAGAACATTTTATGTTTTCAAGCGAAAAAAAAGTTCAATATATCGAATAATAAGTTTAAAAAATTTTACACCACATAAAAATTAAGCTTCTGATATTATTTTTTAAACTTTGTTGCATGTGTTTTTAAAAAATTAGTAAATGAGATTTTTTCTTTCCTGACAAATGTTATTACTTATTTATGCTTCGGTGGTCTATGAAAATTAAACTAAAACAAACATATAAACGGTTAATGGTTTTTGACGAATTTTTCCATAGTGTCTCTATTATCATTTATTAAAGCTAGCAATATTTTCTAAAGAACACTTCAAAAAGTTTTACTGAAAAAAATATGTGTATTGAAAAAATTGCATCTACCTCCTCTATTTTGCTCTTCTTCTTGAACTAACTTATACACTTCAGACATTGTATTAATGGGTTTTTCCGGTTTCATGAAATTTATCCTGAAAGAGAACATATAAAATTCAATAGAAGTAAAAGTATTCCACTAGCATTATCAAAGCAAATTTAAGGCAACGTGATTGCATTGGACGTTTTCTATTACTTTCTTAAAAACAAATAACATCATGTACCAACATTCTTTCAAAGCAGTTACATATGCATATATAACTGAATGTATGTTGAATGAATGAATGTATTTGGGATTCAAGATTTTTTTTCGATGACTCTCACACGATATAGCATTTTTTGTGAATAATATGCTATTTTCATAACTGCTGTCAGTTTGTAACTATGACTGATAAGTCATGTTCAGCCTATCATAGTCAGCTCCCTCTAAGCTATTTCTGGAAATGATTCAAAACGTCAAAAAGAAGAAAAGCCACAGATTTGCGAAAATGAAGTGTTGGTGATTTAACTTTCCAACATTTAAGATTTTTCTCCAACGCTGCATTATGTTGGCTCATAAAGATTTGTATAAATTGATAATTATGAAATGACTTGGATAATTTTTATTTAGTTGGAGAAATCTCGCTTAATAGACAATTTATTTCTTAAAAAACGGTTTAATTACTTTTGAAATAGTGAAGTTTTTTTTCGTTCTAAAGTCCAGGTAATTCTTTACCGCCAGTTAGATATAGTTTAAAATTTTAGCTCTACTTCAAATTAAAAACACTTTTCCTTTAGTGAATCAGTTTCGAAAAAAAACAATGTTAATGGCACAACCAAGAAAGGATATGCGAGTATTGATATGCATACATATGCATGCATACATGCAAATACAACTATGTATTTGTATTAATTGAATATTGCATTATTAGTTCCTCTTTCTTTGGTCAAGCATTCGAAGTTTCATTCGAATTTTTTTTCTTTTTTTTTCCAATGCCTACCTGTGCTAACATCCGTCAATTCAGGCATCTGCGATGGTGTGGGGCTCTATATCTGCCCGTGGATTGAGAGCTCTCGTTGTTTTGAGGGGGTGGTCAAAGGGAACCATTACCGAAGCATTCTCGCAGATCATCTTCACCCTATGCTTCATACTCTCTTTCCGGGAGAACGGCCTGTGTTCCAAGATGACAACGCCCCTGTTCACATGTCTCACTGTGTTCAAACATGGTTAAATGGGCATATTGATGAAGTGGAACATCAAACGTGGTGTCCTCAGTCCCCTGATCTCAATATCATTTAGCCTTAGTGGTGTTTTTTAGAGAAAAAAGTCCGTGCCCGGTTTCCTCCTACACTCATATTCTCTGAGCTCGAGACGGCCCTGCAAAAGGAATGGCTGCAAATTCCGATGAACTTTGTTCAAGACCTTTGTTTGCTAATCCCGCGTCGAATGCAAACTGTCATTCAGGTCAAAGGTGGCCCAACTTCTAATTAATAAAATATTTTAATTTTTTCACAGGTGGTCTTATTATTTTGTCCTATACCTGTATATATGTATAACNATGGTTTTTTCCTTGATTTCTTTATATTTCTTATATTTTGAACTATTTTTGAAATGCATGAAAAAGAATTAAAAAATCATTGAAAATCGAAAAAGATAACAAATTATTGAAGATTAATTGTATTACTTACATTTCAATTGTATGAAACGGTTTAAGTGTACTTACCCCATAACTCCTGGTGCTATCATTTCCGCATGTTGCGATAGCGTTTGAGCTATTACATTCATCGAAAAAGTTGTCATTTTCTTTTCTTTTAATTATTCAGTAAGCAGAATCTAGAAAGTAGAAATTAATTTTGAAATTATTTCTAATGTATAAAACAAATCACTAAAGAACTTTGGTTCTTAATGTTCGTTTGCATTTTATATTGATGGAGATGGATGTAATTTATAATGAATCTAAACAAAAGTTTCGAAAAATCAATAGGAAGTAAACACAACATTAATAATTGCTCGATTTTATAATTTTTTTTAGGATTATATTATTTTGTTTTATTCGATTCAGGTACAAAAATTCTATTATATTATTTCAAATACATAATCTCAAAGCCATTCGATATGCAAAGCACAACGAAGCACAAGGTGAAAATACAATGTTAGAATTTCCATTCTTAAATTTCCGTAAAATAACGGAGAGTACTCTCCGTTATTTCCCGTAAAATTCAATTAACCATTCCATTAATCTCCATTCAATTAACCGTAAAGTTTTAGGTAAAGAATATTTTTTTACCTTTATGGTTTCGAAACCATTTAAGACTAGAGTGATTAAAGAGCAATGAATACAAAACAATACGGTTTTTTAACATTTTTTTTACAATTAGCATGGTTTCAAAACCGTAAAGAAGAATTTACTTGGACATTGGAGCAAGGTTCTTCGTTACGTAATGGACATTGGAGTTAGATTGTGGATTAGTTGTATTTTATTAAATGAACTGTGAAATGTAGTTTAATTTATTTTTCAGGTTATTCTCCTTATCGTAAGAGATCGAAAGTATTCGACTTTTTTGTGTTAAGCTACTTCAATGTGCTGCCATCTATGCCTGAATGGTATTCTAATAATCAGAAGTTACAAATTGGAGAGAACACTGAAAACTTTTCATGTGTTGAAGGGAATGAAGAAAATATTGCAGTACCAATGCTGGGATTCGAACCCCGGTTTTTATTGGTTGAAAGATTTGCATACTAGCCCTCTATGCTACAATATTTACCTATCTGCTAGAAACTAAGTGGCTTCATTTTCTGGACCTAGTAATAAAATTCTGGTTGTTTCACCGTATTAGGAGATATCGGTTAATAAACGTTTTTTTTTCTCTCTCACAGTTAACAGTTCAAATACCATCTTAGTTATAGTTATATTACTGTTTTGTTTGAATATGGTAAATGAAATATTAAATGAAATATTATTTAACCATTTTTCCGAGAACTTTTTACAGTGTGAAGTAATGAAACTTAAGATAGTAATAATCTTAAAAACCATTTAAAAGTAAAGATTTTTTTCATTTTTACTATGTTTTTCTTTTAAAAGGATGCTGAAATTTTTGTAGCAATTTTCACCCATAATGTTTGTTAAAAAACAGGCTAGAATTATTTTAGCTTTTATTCCTTAAACTTAACGTGCATACCCCAATTATGTAATGCAAGACATTCTGTCTCTTCCTCTTCTTTTTTTACATCTAGCTAGCTAACTATGTATAGTATGAATCAAAGTATCTAGTGAATAAATTTTTTGACATATTTACATCCAAAAAAAAGGTTATAAAGTTTTAGTACTTTTTATATACTCATAATTCCTTGCACTTTCTTTCCTTTCTTAATATTCACTCTTTGTTATTACGTTTATTTTTTTGTTTTTAGTTTTGTTACTACTTAAAATTAAAGGCTGAAAACCAAAAGCGGTAGTCATATGATATTACTACGATATGATTAGAATACGTAACATTTTATGATAAACATATTTTAAATTTTATCTAACTTATTAACGGTTTTAAATGCAACAGAGAAAATTTTCAATTTAGTTCATAACAAGCTTTATTTAAATGGCCGGAGAACTTTTTCAATGTTGTGTTTATTTACACACGTTATACTGATTCACTTTTAAATACTGATTTTAAAAAGAATTTAGTCAAAAAAGTAATGAAAACAACAAATAAAGGCTAGAAATCATTCTCGATCACCCTAGCTTAAGAAACACTACTGTTTCCAAACGATTCTATATATAACATTAGGACTTAGAGAATGGCATCAAGGTCTCTTTGGAAAACAATATCCCCTCTTCATTTCAGCTCCTTTCGACTCTAATAAAAGAACGGAATTCACTCTCTTGAACTTCCTCAATGAAGAAAGAATTCTGAGCCCTGACTGATTTAAACGCTTCATTAAGAGAAAACCGCGATTTTTCTAACTGAAGTTCAGCTTCTGTTTTAATTAAAAAATAAGTTTTGTACCAAAGAAACCAATACTACTGAAATTATTGCTAATCATTTAGAAGTAATTACTTGAGGTTTTATTTATCGAAGAAAAAGTACTACTAATCATGGTGAATTTTTTTCATAAACTTAGTTTTTTTTAGTTTCAAAATAATATACATAAAGATTTTGTCCCCGTCACTTTAGTTGCGGAGATATAAATTATTCAAGAAAAAAAAAAGCTTAGGCAAAAAAATTATAAAGAAATGTAGAATTTTCCTTAAATTTGTAATAAATAATGCAATTGGGTACCATGTGCCTAACCATGTGATTTAAATCACATTTAATTGGATACCTGTATGTGACGTTGGACGTGTGTGTCGAACCTGATTGGCTTCTAAATCGACAAATGCCACGATTTACCTACGATGACGTCACTTGAAGGTATTTAATTGGAAGACTCACTTTTAAGATACTTAAAAAAATTGACTTCAAATGATTTCGCGTTAAGGACCGAATTTAGCTAATAAGTTGCTATTATAAAAGAAACATTCTTAAAATGCTGAACTGTGAATTCGCTACTCAAAACAATAGAATTTATAAGCTAGCTTTATAACTTCCTCTTTTTTTATTTAGCCTTTTAAAGCGCAAATATTAGTTATAATAGTTTCCAATTAAGAAGAAATTCATATAAGCTTCTGCAGCTACAGAACTATTTCAACTGCGAAATGAATTAAATTTGGTGACATATTTAAGATAAAAATTATAATTTTTAATAATTCATAACTAATTACTTCAAAATAGACAAAATAATTTTATACATGATTTCAGGTAGTAACAAGCTGGCGTGTGAAAAGAAAATTCAGCCTAATTGGCGAGTGACACTTCGAATACCTTGTAAATAAAAATATTAAATATTTCGTGGTAATCAAATTCATAATTAACTCATATTGTCACAAATATACTACAGAAGCTTATTATTTAAATCATATCAAATATTTTATTTATCTGAATGAAGATTAACTAGAGTAAAAAGTTCAAATTCTGTTTTAATTTTGATTTTTCTAAATTAAGATAAGCTTCTCTTAAAATAATCACGAGCCATATTTGACTGAAAATTATAAATTGCGTATAAACCTTCATACAATTAAAATCTAAATACCTAGTCTTAAAAACAATAAAAAATATTTCCTTAACCACAGATTATGGTAGAATATATTTAAAATGCAAATAAAGAACTCAAGCAAAAAGCAACGCCCGACTTTTTAAGGTAAAGATGCAAAAAAAATTTATGAATATTAGAAAAAATAATTCTATGTAATTAAAAAATAATTCTATGTAATTAAAAAATAATTCTATGTATATTATTTATACAGTATAGTTACTGAGAGTATACAGAAAATATTCATTCAAACTTAAAGCTTCTAGGTATTAGACATTAATCCCACTTCCTTTGCTTATGTTCTTTTTTATTATCAACAATACTTAACAATATTTAACAATCTTTGAGCTTTCTAATTAATAATCAAATATACCTCAGTTTATTATGTTAGCATATTTTGAGATTATTTTTAATACCCTAATATCCTTCTCTTTGTTTATATCTTAAAAGTATGATGAATATGAATTGCTAATAATTTATTCCAAATTTCATTTAAATAGTTTTGCGTAAGAAAGCTTATGATTAGTTTTTTTTGTTATATGAAGTTTTTCTGAAAGGTAAAACATTTCTTTAAAAATAATATTTAAGGTTCTTTCAATGAGATATGAAGCCGATAATAACATTTCGAATTGAAGAGTTAAGCCAAGTTGAGCCGAAACTAGTAAATAAAGTATCTGGCATAGATATATTTCATTAAAAATAAAAGGAATCACGTAATTCAGATAGTCTGATCTATCGATTTTAGTCGATCGTTCTCTGATTCAGGTCAATATTACGATCTGTGGATGAATGAATGGATATATGAATGGGTCTGCACTATAAACGGGTGTGACGTATGGCGTGGCAGAAGTCGAATTCTTGGGCATAGATGGCGCCATTGGAAAACAAGAACAACCCCCCTCTGCCTGAACAGTCATACGCCAACAACAACAACACAGAATTCTGAAAAATTCTCTGGGCGACTTCCGGAACGTTTGAGCTGTTATCTAAGGAATGGCCAATTAAATAAAATACCAAGTCAGAAAACATTATAATAAATTTCAGGGAATCAACTTAGAAATATATATAAGTTACAGTCAATATATCTAATCATTCATTATTAACAGTAAATAGTGATATTTAATAATAACCAAAGATACCGGATCCAATGTTTATTGTAGGAGAATTTAAAACATTGGCCGGTTGTTATTAAAAATTGTCATTCGAATTTTGTATTTTTTTCACTATTGTTATTTTTTTAAAGGTAAATTGTCTGGTATTCCCTACACTGTTGTTCCCTACATAAAGAAAAAATGTTGAAAAATTTTCACGTTTGCTCGCAGAGCACAGTCCTTTTAAAAACGCAATTTTGGTTAGTGGGTAGACGCAGATGTGATTATTTGTTTATCTTTAAAAATAACGGACCTTTATTAATAATAACTAAATAAAGCAATTAAATTGATTTTGACCAATTAAATGTTCATTTTAAATTCAAAATAATTTTTAATAATAATCACAAATATTTGTTGTTAAAAATTTTCTTAATCATTCTTAGTAATAATATTATTTAAAATTGTTATAAATAAAATTATTAAAAATTACTATTAATAAATAAGCTACTCATAAAGCAAACATAACATGCTCTCAAGTTTACTAGAAAGTAAAATGTATGCTTTAACTTTATACGCAAAATATTAAAAAAAGTTTTATGCAAGCGATAGAATTTTTCT